TTAAATTTTGGACTCCACCAGGTCTGAGGCCAGAGAATGAGTGGTTGAGCAGCAAGACACCATGGCCCAGGTCCTCTTGCCCACCGTCTGCCCCTCCGGGTGCATGTCCACCAGGGTACAGCAGTTACCAGTCCCCTTCATCTTCTCCTGCCGGGTCGCAGCACAGAGCTCAACCCTCAGCCCTGCAGTCGGTTCCTACTAGTGCTTTTTGCTTTTTATTTTGATGATTATGCTGCCTTTGACCCGCCCGATTTCTTAATATTTCCAGATACCTATTATTTCCTTCATCTCTCCAACTTTTCTATTTCTTTCATGTTTATATTAGGATGGACATTCATCTCACCAAGAAACAAATACAGGCTCATTAGCTTAGAGACATGGGTAAAGGACTAAAGTTTACTGTTTTTTAGGATTTTACACTTAAAATAGATGTTCCTAAATCCAAAGTATCTCCTCATGTCTGAAGAAGGGTCATTTAACTTCTGAAATTTTAGAAATTCAATTGAAGAAGATTTCACAACCTAGAATTTCACAGTCTTTGCTGTAAAGCACAATCTAATTTTGCTAGTACGAATTTAGTTATGTGTAAAACTCTTGTTTTTCATTGTTTTCGCTCAGTTTGACTCTTGGACTCAAGACCAGAATTTTAACTTGAAACATTAGATTAAGTAAGTATTATAAGAGGCGTGTTTTCTGCCTTGTGCTTATGTGCTGTCTACAGTAATCACTGTAGATTTAACACCATAAATTGGCTTATGGTAAGGCAAAGTGAAATACTGGGTAAACCCATTACTCCCTTGAATTTAGTGGCTTTATTTTCTTACACTTTGTCCTTATAAACTGTCCCATTAACTTTAAATTATTATATTTTATTTTCAGTGTCATAATTTTCAAGTAGGATTATTCTGAAACTGATTCTGAGATCTGTGCTTTTTCAGGCAGGAACTTTAAAAAATGATTTTGTGAGAACCTAATGTTTTCTGTTTGGAAATACAGTACTTTAACACAGATCAAAGGAGTTTAAATGATTTAAATATACTCTCTCTTATAATCACAAGCAACTGTTTTCTTTGCAATTCCACATCTTTATTGAGGCAATGGATGGTGAGGTGTTACTAAAGTGAAACCCACAGTTTATACCTAAGGTGGCTAAATGACAAACAGACCTTACACATGCTGAGACTCTGCTATAGCACAGGAAAACAGTCTACCAAAGACAAAGGTTCACAATCTGTACTGTTGCAATTTCCTATACTAAAAAGAGAGGGGAAAAAAAGAGCAAATTCTGTATTTATGCTACCTCATCATTGGTTTTAATAAAGTTTAGGTTGCTTTCTTTAAAAACTTCAGTAAAGGGATCCTGTCAACTCTACCTCATAAGTAGCTCTGTGATCTGTCCCTCTGCATCCCTACTTCAGGCTGTGTCATTTCTTTCTAGACTATTACTAAAAACTTGCCAAGAATATCAACGACTCCCGTTTGGAACATTCCAATTGCTCCTCCACCTGGCAACAAGACTGTATCACTTCTCCACTCAAATATAATTCTTTTATGACTCCCCCACTGCCTCCAGAACAAATCCAAACTCCTTGGCATGTTCCCAGACTCAGTCCCCTGGCTCACACAATCCCCCAACTGGCTCCTAGACTCTGGCCAGACACAGGGAACTGCACTTCTCCAACAGTCACATTTTTTCATACCTGTGTGCTTTTGTGCGTGCTACTTTCTGTCAGCTGCACCATTCCCAGCCTCACTTCACCCAGCTAACTCCTTAAAGAATGAGCTTAGACAACACCGCCTCTAAGAAGCCTTTCCAGATTCTTCTCTCCCTGTGCATTTCTGGTGTTATAGGCATTTCTGCATTATAGGTATTGCCAGTACATGCTCTCCTCTTTTATGAGCCCTAACCTGTAATATAGTTGACTGTTTGCTTCTGTCTCCCAGAGTAGATTATGAGCATTGGGTTGGCAGGGGCTGTGTCTTTTATCACAGTCCTCCCAGGAACATCCAACACAGTGGGTGCCATGGGTGTCATTCTCAGCATTTGTTGAGAATAAGTGATTTGAGTTCAAGTTGAGTTCTCTTATTTGGTGTTTCAGAAGCCAAGGTCTTTCTACCTAATATATACATAAATAGTTCACCTAAAGCTTATTATACACTTAATTGTAAAGAATTGTGTAAGGGCAGGGAATATGGACCATATAAAGATGAATAAAACATCAAACTTTTCAACTAACTATACTACCCACCACCTTAAGTGCAATTATAGAGTATATAATCGAGTACAAGGTGCTATTAAAATACAATGAAGGAAGCAATTGCTTCTGCTTGAAGAGCTATTAAGAGCCCCTTTGAGCTGGGCTTTAAATGAAAACTAAGATTTCATCTATTAAAGAACATAGAGCATTCAAAGCCATGGTGTCGAGGTATGAAAATATATTAACTTAAGCAATATTATTTTTCTTGTAATTACAAAAGTAAAATGTACTTATTGTAAAAAATTCAAAAGCCATTTTTCTCATTCCCATGCCTTGGGGTAATCATTGCAATATCTTTTAAAACCTTTTTCATTTCACACATATATAGTATAGATCTTTATGAAAATGGTTTTAATTTTACAAAAATGGAATCATACTAAAAACACTGCTCTGCAACTTGCATTTTTCATTCATTTAGTACTTCGCCAACAGCCTTCCATGTCATTACATATAGGAAATGAATCTTTTAGAGTCTCATGAATCTGGATCACTTACTAGAATCATAAAAAGCAGGCTGATTTATGAATTTACCATTTGTTCCCCTATGCATATATATGCATATGTGAAATGTGAAATACACCATTAGTGTTTTCTACTTGAGACATATCATGTCTTACCTGAGGAGGCAATTTCTTCACCTCTTTTCATTCCCAATCTTTTATAAATTTCTCTCTCAGGATCAACATAGATTTCATGAGAATACCCAGTCAGTTTACAGAAAGGCTGAAAAAAGAATATAGTTGGAATTTTAATAAAAAGAAATGGGAGAAAAATAGTGATAATCTGACTTAATTTTAGCAAATTTAGCCTACATTTAGTGATTCAAATAATATAATTTTTACGTCTGAAAGAGATTTAACCTGTTAGAGTCTCAATTTGCTATATATTTACCTCAATATGATGGTAGGATGACTGTCCAATCACTATAAGAGTGACATTTGCTTCCTTTAGGAGAGAAAAAAGACATGTACATATTATTGGAAATCACATGTTTCATACAACTTCCCCTAATCCAACTCTTTTGTTCCATTCTAATGCCACCTATAGGCTTCTAGAAGAATGGTATAAAGAGCAAAATTGTGTGAGTCAAAGCAAAGAGATGTATGCTAAAATGTTCAATTAATTCAGATAATTCTTTTGCTAAGTAAGAATTTCAAAACAATATAGTCAGTAGTTCTCTACACTTCCCCCAAAGGCATACATTAAACAAGAATAAAAACTATTAAAGTAGGGTTATTTAATCAGACAATTTTATTCTTTCACATCTCAATTGATAAGGTCTGCTGAAAATAGATCTTAGTTTTACAAAAGCTACCCAATCCGTTCACTCAAAAGCTCAGCTGGGGACAAACCTCTATATGCCTGAAGAAACACACCTGTATGTGGTTGTCAGACCAATGTGGAACATGCATTCCATTAACAATACACATTTTCACCTTTAAGATATATTAGTATTTTCCTATAACGAACAACTATTTGGAGTATCTTTATTACAAAAATAAAGGGAAGGAAATATTTTTAGCATTTCTGTTTTTGGTCATTATCAATCAACATTTGAGAACAGGCAGGTTATTAGGTAACATCAAAATTATTATTATGGTTAGTATGTTTATAACCAGGCAATAATGAACAGGCCAGAAATAGACTTCTAACGCGTGCCTCCCCTTTTTGGAGGTGTTGGAGAGATGTGTGGGATGGTGAGAATCTGGGTTTGTGAGTGTCTGCGCTGGAGAGGTGGTGCACTCCGCACCTCATCCCGTTGCACTCCTTATAAATGGCAGGTGATTTTCACCAGGCCGCCCTGAAGCGGGGCTCGCTGCTGCTCACTCTCAGGAAACTTACTTGTAAGAAACTCTTGGGGATTTTGGCCAGATCTTCTACATATTCCTTGCAGATGTAACACAGGAAATGCTGAAATCCCAATACGGGCAAAAAGGACAAGTTAGCAACTAACACCCCCGGGGTCAGAAAGGGCCAAGTACTTCATTATGCGTGATGCTAATTAACACAACACCCAAGACGGGTAGAAAGAGGTGTCGGGGCGCCCAAATATGCATTGAAATTAGGCCGCACCCAGTCTGTGCTAGGCCTCTTCGCTCGTTGAGAAAATGGCCTTCGCTTGGCGGGCTGCTTTTCCATTCCCGTTCAAGGAAGCGAGAGGAGCAGTTCGCATTCCGGAAGCTTCTAGTGGATGAACACGGGAAGGGCCAGGCCCGGCGGGCTCCGCTCTCGGGCCCTGGACCCGTCCAGGGGCCCGATGTAACCACCCTTCAGCGCAGGCCGTGGAAGCAACCTCCGTCCCAGCCTGCGGGTGAGGTACCTGCTCCGGATCGTCCCGCACCCCGCGCTCACCCGCACGAAGACCACTACAGCCCGGCGCTCCCGGAACAGCGCGCCGAACAGCACCCGCCTCCCGGAGGCGTCCAGCACCGGCAGGTCGGCCACGGCGGCGGCCAGGGACTGCCCGCTCTCGGGGCCGCTCGGGTCTGGGACTGCGGCTGGGGCGGCGCGGCCGCTGATCTGCCGCGTGACCGGGACCACGGATGGGGCGGCCATCGCGCCCTGCATCCGCGGGCCCTTGGTTCGCGAGGGTGGGGGTCAGAATCTTTGGTGGGCCGGGTCGCTACCCAAGCTGGGCGTAAGGAGCGGGCCGTACTGGCGGGGCGGGGCACACGGTGGGGCGGGGCGCACGGCGGGGCGGGGCGCACGGCGCGGAGTTGCTTGAGGTGCAGACCCGCTGTGGCGCCCGGCGAGAGTGAGGCGCGCGGGGTCGATCCGGGGCGCACATGTTGTCTTCCAGGTTAGGATTCGCCAAGTCTTTGCATCTCCGGTGGTTCCGAAGCTCCGGAAAGGTACGGAACCGCTGTCGCGTTTTCTGACTCAGCCATTCATGGTAGGGAGGTAGAGAGACAGAGAGATCCAAGCCGAGAAAGGAGTTAATTAGGAAGAAAGCAATCCCTGCTCCCCGTAGCCGCCTGGGTCAAAGTTAGTTCTTATCTGTTCAAGAGAACCCGTTACCAAGCACATCCATATTTATGATCCGATAGATTTGTTTTACCTTCTAGTCTGTTTTTAACCCACTCCCTCCTCAGTTCTCGTGCTTTTTTTGTTTTTTTGCAGGTATCATTAACATACAGTGTAATGTACAAATCTTAAGTGGAGTTAAATTTTATTTTTTAATTAAATTTTTAAATTTAAAAATTTGCCAAAATTTTATCATGGAAATTTTAAAACATGCCCAAAAAGTTGAAAGAATTTTACAGGGAACACTCCTATATCCACCACCTAGATTCTATTTTACTCTGTCAGAATCTGTGCATCTGTCCACAGTTAGGTGAGTTTTGCCTGATTATCCACCCGTTATCCACAATCCTATAAAAATATGGACCATCGCTATCACTTGAGAAAATTCCCTCAGTTATATTTTTTAAGAGCAGGTATAATAAATCTATTTATAAATGTGCTAGGGTGTTTCAGGAGTTCATGTCCTTTCTTCAGACTTTTCTTGCTAAAGCTGTTTAGCAGGCCCCTCAAGTGATATAACTCTGTGTGTGTGTGTGTGTGTGTGTGTGTGTGTGTGTGTAAATGATGGATTGAGAGGGATGAGGAAGATGGAGTTAAATGGCTCTGTTCTACCTTAATTTCTCCTGGGGCAGGCTGCAGGCAAGCAGGCGTAGAGGAATTTAGGAATTTCTGCAGGCTCTGTGAGAGTCAGCTGGTCCTGGACTTGGAGGCTGGTCTTGCACTGGGGTTTCTCTTAGATGGTGACCATGTGTCCAAGTCTTCCAGGGCAGAACCAGACAACATTCAGGTTCTTTGTCTTTATAAGTTCACCCACCCTTGTTTCTGGATTTGTGGTTCAGAAAATACGATCCTCTATTTATGGTATTTGTCCAGTGGAACCCCTTCAGGATCACACTTATCAAGGGCAGAGTGCTAGTGAGGTAAAAGTGACCAATTTCACTCTGCCACAAAGTGCAGGAGAGACTGATCCTGAATCCTCTGGCTTTCAGTTGTGTGAAGACATACATTATTGAACACACATTTAAGTGCTCCCAGTTTGAGAAACTCTGCTGTGGGTTTGGACATTTCTAATCATAGACCTGTTTCTAAGTCATGTTCCACCAGTGCTGGGGTGCCACAGATGCACTCTCAGGGGCACAGCAGGATATTTTAAATACTTGAGGGAAGCAGAGGTTATCCTCCTGACATCCTGCTTGTGAGTGGAGATAGTTCACGATTTCACATTAGACTACATTTCTTTTCCACTATATTTCTTTGAATAATGTCATATCTTTGCCAAGTTGGGTTTCTAACAGTTGTGATAAAAAGCTGGAACTGCACAGGCTTCCCTGGTGGTGCAGTGAATAAGAATCTGCCTGCCAGTGCAGGGGACACAAGTTCGATCCCTGGTTTGGGAAGATCCCACATGCCGCGGAGCAACTAAGCCCGTGCGCCACAGCTACTGAGCCTGCGCTCCAGATCCCGTGAGCCACAATTCCTGAAGCCCACGTGCCACAACTACTGAAGCCCACGTGCCTAGAGCCCGTGCTCTGCAACAAGAGGAGCCACCGCAGTGAGAAGCCCAAGCACCACAACGAAGAGTAGCCCCCGCTCACCACAACTAGAGAAAGCCCACGCTCAGCCACGAAGACCCAATGCAGCCAAAAATAAATAAATTTAGAAATTATAAAAAAACCTAAAACCGCACAAAAATCACTGTGTTTAGGGAATGAGGTTGGGGACGTCCAGTCTGATTCCAAGATTGGAGAAGTTGTGCAGTGTCCAACAGGCAGGCACACTCTGGGATGAAATAAAAATATTACTTTTTCTTTTAATTTATAGTTGTATCTTCAAATAGCTACTAAGTTGTTCAGACATAAATACTTATTAAGTTGTTTGGATCTAACTTCCAAATAAAAGAAATTGGTAGGAATTTCTTTTGGCCTAAGGGTGCTGTGAATAAACTGCTGACCCCAAGAAATAAACTACTGTGAACCAAGAAAGTCTGGAAAGCTTTGAATCAGGCAGTAAGCTCCTTGCCTTCTGCAGCACTGTAATATCTTCGCAGACTGGCGCGAGGCCTGACACATTGTAGGCCTCCATGAATATTGTCTGATTGGTGAATGCATGGAATGTGCAAGATAGGGTGGCGCTAAGAGACCTTTCACCATCTGGCGTGGATCGAGTATGAATGGGAGCAAGGTAGTCACAGTGCCTTACAGAAATGGTGTTCCCCACTGTCTGAAACAAGCAGGGCAGAGCTCAGAGGACATATGCAGCTGCAGGCTTGCCAGTCCACAGAAACCCATCAACCTAACACCCAGCCAGCTCTATTTCATTCACATTATTCCAGAGGTGAGCCTCACCTGACAGTAGATGCCCAAGTTTCCTTGGTTTAGATGCTAACCACTGACTCTAACCACACTGTCTTCACACTGTGACCAATAACTGGTCAAAGCTCCCCCAAACTTCCTGGTTGAACCGGGAATATGTTACTTGGTACATCATATATTCCAGACCATCAAATATTCCAACTTACCAAATTTTCCTGACCTCCTAACTTCTGGTTATTTGGTACACTGTACACTTTTTTTTAAAAAAGCATTTGTTACAGTTATGATTAAATAATTATTTGGTTTTTGTCCATTTCTTTTTTTATTGAAGTATAGTTGATTTACAATGTTGTGTTAGTTTCTAGTATACAGCAAAGTGATTCAGTTACACATATATATATATACATATATATGTATATATATTTTTTCATATTCTTTTCCATTATGGTTTATTACAGGATATTGAATATAGTTTCCTGTGGTATACAGTAGGACCTTGTTGTTTATTTACTTTATATATAGTAATTTGTATCTGCTAATCCCAAACTCCTAATTTATCCCTCCCTTGCCCTTCTTGTCCATTTCTTGAGTATAAACTCCCCGAAAACAAGTCCATGTCCATTTTGTTCTGCATATCTCCAGCATCTATCACAGAGCTTGGAACATAGAGAGTACCCAATAAATACTCATAAATGGATAAACTTCTTTTTGCTTGTCCTTATCCTCTTGTACTTCTCCCTCTACCTTCCTCCCCACTCCCGAGCCTTTCATTTTTCATTTTGTTCTCCTCCACTATGTTTCTGGTATGCCATTATCACCCACACACCTGGCTGAGTTCTGCAACTGTACTTCAGTCTGAAAATAGTACATTCCTGGTGAATTCATATCTGCTACTGTCACTAATGAACCTTGGTTTTCTGAAACAAGGAATGTGTCTCCCAAGAGGTTAATTCATTGAGAAGTAACTTAGGCTAAAGGGATAAGTTGTTGCCAATATACCCTATCAGCCTTTTGAAGAGAGCCTTGCCCAGAGAGCAAGGTTTCACTTTGCTCCCTTTGTCTAAGAGAGAAGAAAGTACAGTAGAATGCTATCTCTGAAAGGCAACTTTTGGGTTTTATTATTAGCTGTTAAGGATTAGTGTCAATAGAGTGCAATATTAGCAGGAGAAATGAAATACACAGATAATAGAGGATTTTAGTACTGGAAGACATTTTATAAACCACTTACGCCCATGGAGGTAAGGAATCTGACCCTCTTAGGGTAACTCACAAGTTCAAGCCCAGCTCCCTTCAGGCCTGGTCCAGTTCACTGACCTCATGTCCAGGTGTTACCGACCTGGGTTCTTGGACTCTTTAATCAATAGAAATTGATAAGAGGCCAGACAAGAAATTCAGACAAGGCTTTATTGGGACTGGTGCTGCAGCACGAGGGAGTGAAAACAAGTAATAGGCTCCCTGAGCTGGGGCAAGCTGATCCCTTAAATGGGGTGAGGGTAGGGGCGGACCCGTGTGTCAGGTGGAAGGGGTGGTGTGGGTGGCCTGCCACCCCCTTGGTGGTGCTGTGTGCAGGGATCATGCACAGTACCCTGCTTTTGCTCCTGACACCTCAGAAGTGGCAGCTGGGTTTTTGGTTTTTTTGCATCTTGTTGTTCATACTTTGCCCCAACTGCGCATACACAGTTATTTTTAGTCCCTTATGGTTTCTTTGTATTCTGTTGCTGGGACTAGACTAGATGTTTGTCCAGGTGTAAGTGAGGCAGGAGATAGATGGGCCCCAGGCTGAGCAGCTGGAGTTTGTCCTCTGTGGACAGATACTCCAAGTTGAGGAGCTAGAGAAGAGCTGAGCCCTGCCCAGATAAGAGATAAAAGACCACATATTCCTCATTCTCGAAGTCAAGGAGACCTCCCTGACTACACATGCGTAGAGAGGCTCCTCGGAGGTCAAAAGGGAGGGGGCACCACCCCACAGCAAGTGATGCCAACCTACCCATGGGCCTCTTCGCTAGAATCCATCATGGCTATGAGATGTGCGCATGGGAGGACCCTGAGATATACCATATACGGACTCAGAACCAGGCAAAGCAAGATGATTGGCCAAAGGAAACCTGGAAGAAATGCCCCATAAAGGTGATTCAAACTACCAGGAGGACGTGACTCTCTCTCTCTGAGCCCGCCCGTGTGCCTATCCACACATATGTGCTGTTTTTCTTCCTCATAACACTTGTTTCACTATTTTCTGACTCTATGTGGAAATTCATTTCTACACAGCTGACAGGCCAGGGCCTTGTCACTGGCCACTCTTCCCTGGTGGTCTAGTGGCTAGGATTCAGCGCTCTCACTGCTGCGACCTGACTTCAATCTGTGGCTGGGAACTGAAATCCTGTTCCAAGCCGCTGCAGGCTGAGGCCACCCGAGAGCATAAGCACTGCAGCAAAGGGTCCCAGGTCCCAAGTCCCAGCCTGTCTCACAGGCTTCATTCCTACAGGTGCTTTGGTGCTTTCAGCCTCCTCCTTACA